GTCTATGGTGTATAAAAGAAGGAAAGACTCCAAAATTCGTTATTATTAGAGATGTAACCTTTAAATCTATTATGTGTAACCACAGAGGAGGTGGTACAAGTGTTGTAGGGAACGATCAGGGCGCTAGCTAGAAGGTGGAGTTTGAAACAGAAATCCCACATAGTTTTGTGATAAATGAGAAACCGCAGGGTGGCATGGAACAACATAGACATAAGGAATCCCTTGAACAACCCAAGGAAGAAGTGTTTGGTGATGTTGATGCCAGTAAAGACAACTTGAAGAAGCTTCTAGAGAATGAGTTTTTGGTGAACGATTTAGGAGTTGAAAAGAAGATAACAAGGATGGAGATTCGGATTGATAGAAGAACGTGATGGTTATGCATTTCTCACTACATTGAGAAAGTCTTGCGGTCGTTCTATCGTGATCAGTCCATACGTGTTGGTACTTCTTTGGCGGTTCGAGGCAATTGGGTGAAAGCTCATTGGGAAGTGGTCAAGTGGATCTTGTGGCACTTGAAGGAAACGCTTGATGTTTGTACGGAGTATGGTGCCAATGCATGACATATGAACTTAGTTAGATTGATAGACTCGGAACATGAAAGTGATTTGGTGATAAGTAGATCATTGGCGGTTGGTCTCGTGTAGAGTCTTCTTTTGAAGGTGGAGAAACCTATCATGTTTTATGACAGGTTATACATTCAAAAGTCTGGTGCCAAGGAGAATCCAAAAGACATGGTGACAAGGACATTTCCTAGAGAGAAGTTCAAGCTTTTCTTGGACTTGGTTGATGTTCGCAGGAGGTAAGCCCCTTCAGGGCTTAATGGCAGGAAGGGAGAGGAAGTTCTTGTTTAAGGTGGAATTCAGAGGATGCTCAAGACAAGGTGGATATTGTTAAATGTGACTTGAGCATTTGGAGCATTCGCATGGAGAATATGTGTTCAATGGAGCACTTGAGATTCATGGAGCATGTGACAAAGGAATGGATCATCTGAAAAAGGAATGGATCTCCTGACAAAGGAATGGATCTCCTGACAAAGGACAGGATATGCCAAAGTGAAAGGAGATGCCACGAAGTGACTTGATATGTCATCAAGTGACTTTATATGCCACCAAGTGACATGATATACCACCAAATGACTTGATATGCCACCAAGTGACAGGATATGCCACTTTGAATGTGGATGTGCCACTACTAAAGCCTGATGCGTCATCTAGGAGTGAATGTGTCACCTTGGAATCCTGATGCGCCATTCTTGAAGAGGATACGCCAACCTAGGAGAGGGTGCGCCATCCCTTGATCAAGATACACCATCCACATGCCTGATGTGCCATCTTGATGCAAGGATGTGTTGGTTCCTTGATATGCCAATGTATTCTTGATGTCGTATGCTATGAAGTCCTCTATGATGCTCAAGATTGTCCAAGGATGCCATGAAGTTGAAGATGATCCAGGAATACACATTGATGCGCCCCCATGATGGATGAAGCGCCACTAGTGTTCATTATGCGCCACATATGCATCATGATGCACCACTATGGCTCATGATGCTCCATCATGTGTGTTGTTGATGCTCATGGGTTGTATGACATGAATAAATGTTCCAGAAGATGATGCATGGCGGATTGTGATTGGTTGAAACCTTTCATGCACCTATGGGCCAATGGGTTTAGCCTATTAGGGTTTTAGGTTTGATCCCTCTAGTATAAATAGGTATGCATGCAGAGTCATTTGTCTTGTATTTTGTATCCTTAGTGAGTAGGCTGATTCTCTGGTAGTTTTACTTGTAATCTCTGTTTGAGAACTCTGTGAATAAAGAGTACCCCCTCTTTCCCGTAGACGTAGGTCACCTTGATCGAACCACGTAAATATTATGTCTTTGTGTGCTTTTAGTTTCGTGTGTTATCCGCATTACTTTCTAACAAGGGTCATCAGAACTTGGCAAGTGACATCAGATTTGTTTTGAGTCTTGATAAGTATCGTCTATTTCGCTAACATATACTAGTTGTCGGTAATATGAATAATATTAGACCATAGGTTCTAATGAAAAAATGCAACCGAATCATTCAACCAAATTTTTTATTTTAAAATAAAATTAATCATTGTCTAAAGTATAATAAATAAACTATATGTTTAAAAACGTGACACATCATGTTCAAAATCAGAGTAAAATCATATTCACGGAAGTCTCCAAAAAATATATCCATGGATGTGATACAGTCAGGTCACGTCTTCCCCCATGCTACTAGAATAACCTGAAAATATTTAAATTCAATGAGTTGCACAAAGCTTAGTGAGTTCCTAAGATACCACATACCCTTGTGAGTGCTATGATCCAATCATAGTCTTACACTCACTTTCGTTGCTACAGTCCAATTATAGTCGTTCATGCTATGGTCCAACCATAGTCTTAACTGTTATAGTCCAACTATAGCTTTTCATTCAACTGCTATTTTCCAACTAGAGTCTTTCATGCAACTACTATGATCCAATAATAGTTTTTCATACAACTGTTATGATCAAACATAGTCTTTCATACAATTGTTGTGGTCCAAACACAATTTTTCATATAGAAGTCACAAAGACAACCTATCAATCCAAGACATCTAATGTCACACATAGTATCGTCAGAAAACTCACCTGATGCTAACAACCATAGTCTCCCAATCACAACTCCTCGAATTAGCTAACACGAACTACCAAAACCAAAAAGAGGTCCAACCTCAGTATACAACTTAAAACCATTATTGTTTAACCAAAAATCAAACATATCAAAAAAAAAAGTCAACGGTCAATGCACCGCAACCCAACCCATGGTCGCGTCGCGGTCACTAGGTGACAAAGCAGTCGTGAAACCCATTCAACTTATGTGTCACGACCTATCTTTAGTCGAGCTGTAATTTTTCAATCAGGTTCCAAACTTTACATTAAGTACTTAATCCCTTAAGACTAAGGTTATAACTTTACAGAAACAACGAAATATGGCCTTAATGGATAAAGTTTTCAACTATATCCATTTGCATGTCTCAAACACCACCAACTACAAATCTAGGTCAAAATGGGACCAAAATGCAACCAAATCCTTGCATAGCACAAAAGGGAAGACAAAGATCATTTCTTAGCACCATAATGGGTCCAGAAGACTCCAAAACACAACCTTTGGACATGAAGTTTTCCAAACTCCACCTAATCATCATGAAAGGACCCAAAACAAGCTTGAAATCTTGGTTCTGCTAATCAAAATGCATAAAGCTTGGAACTTGAATACTTACACAGGTCCATAATGTGCTTAAAGGGCTGATATGCTTCTGGATCTAGCTTCTTGACACCACCAACTCTTTGCTTCCTCACCAAGGATCACCAAAATGCACCAAAAAACTCAAGAACACAAGGGAGAAGAAGATAGGACGCTATGGTTTCACTAAGACGGTGGAGGTTGAGGATGAGAGCGCATCCTAGATGTTAGCATCCTTTAAATAGGGTCGAATCCCAAAATGAGGGTTTTGTGCAAAAAGCAACGTCGTGTCATGACTTATACATGGTCGTGTCGTGCTTAGGGTTTTCCTTAGCTTTGCAACCAAGGATTGGCCGCATCACGAAGCTGCTTCCCTAAAAAAAACCTTCTTTCTAATTAAATGAATTTAAACATAAGCAACCTAGACACCGGTCATAAAGAAATATCACATCGTCAACATAAAAAAAATGAGAGACCTCCGTATCGCCATTTCCTATTTTGACATCCTTAAAATCATTTTTTGAAATAACTTCCATAATAGCCACTTGGAGACCTTTAATTAGGGGTGACAATTCTCGACACGACCCACAAAACGACACGAAGATAAACAAGTTTGGGTTGAGTTTTTCTAACCTGCCAACTCACCAACCCATTTTTTATTATACAGGTTGTGTTTGGGTTTGCAAATAATTTCACTGGTTGACCCATGAACCCATTTATGTTATATATATATATATATAGATATATATATAATATATATATATATATATATATATATATATATATATATATATATACTTTTTTTCCTATGACTCACGAACCTATTCTGACCCACAAACATGAATCTAACACAGGAACCCGAATTTCACCAATGAACCCATATAATTAAACGGGTTATGCAGGTTAACATGTTTATAGCTAATTCTGGTTAGGGTTAGACGATGACACAAATATTTATAATTTTATATGGATCGTGTCCGGGTTGAGTTTCTATGAGTCACCAACTCGAACACGACACGATAATCACCCCTACTTTATCCTATGTTCTATTTTGAAGTTATCCGTAGGCTAGCTATAATCAAAAATAGAAGTCATCGAAGAGTTCAAATATGTCTTAATTCATCCATGTCACTTCATCCCGAAACCCATTTCGTCAAGCACCTCATCCAAATAGGCTCACGATAATGAATCATAGGACTCCTCAAAATCCACCTTAAAATGCATCATCTTTCTTGTAAGTTTTTATACCCACCCATCCGAACCTAGGGATTTATCGGTTCTATAATCCCAAACAAATTTTTTAATCTCCTCTCATGTAAAAAAGTGAATCAAGAAAAGAACGTTGTTTGATGGTAATTTTCTTGAACATTTTGTATTCAAGAGTAGACTAAATTTGTCTTCTCTTTTGATTGAACGACTCCGTGAAAATACTTAGAATTCACATCTGGACAATTGACCTTAGCCTTTTGAGCCAAGTAAAAACTCTCAACATGATCAATATCCCCCAATTCTTTCATCGCATTAATAGCATAGGAATATGTAAACCAGAAATATTTTAATTTCAGGAAAACTGGACTAAACATATAACTTAATAAAAAAAATTACTTTAAAATACCAAAAATACCCTTTCACAGAGAGCCATCACTTTCTTTTTATACCAGTAACAATATGAATTTGAATTACTAGTCGTGCAGTTCAATTTCATTAACAAGAAAAAAGAGGAGTAACAGAAGATAAAAGGATTATTAGCAAAACAAGACATTAAATTAATCCAGTCAAACTCAAAGGCATTGTTTTGAGTTTTGACATGGGGACATGACATTAAACATGTTGATGATTACATTTAAACCAACATTGGGTTAATTTAGGTAAAATTTAACAACAACAGCTATATACACCATATCATATATAATATCATATCATATCATATAATAAATAGCATCAGATGCCTTTACTACTTACTTACAGAATACAACACCTTAGCACTAGTCCCTTTGGGTCCACCCTCCCCTCATCATTTCCTGCAACAACACCATATTTATAAGTATTATCACCATATTTGAGACTAAATGACCATTTTACCCTCAGATTTGAAATAACAAGTTTCACAATACACACCTTCAGGAGGCTGAGTGAGTTTTCTGTTCTGTGGGGAGGTCATTTCTTTCTTGAGTTGAGTCAATATATCCTCCATTGTGTAATCTCTTTGCCAATCAGAAAGCATTGGAAAAAGAGAAGGTTCCACCTGCCAAAATTTTACACCATTGTCATATTATTTAAAAAATAAAAAAACATATCGAGTCAATTGTCATATATAAAACTAAAAATAAATAGTACACACCACACCAGTCTCCTGATTCACACAGCTCATGTTTATTCTTGATTGAAATTTGACACTTGGTGGTTTTTCTGGATACTCATGGCAACAAAATAGTTTAAGTTGATAGATGCGCCCTTCATGAACAGTCTGAGATATGTAAATCAATGAGATTTATATAAATTTATATGGTGATGATATGAAATTAAATTAATATAACAGAAAAATAAAAGGGAATTGAGATAGATTACATGAGAAGGACCAATGATGGTTCCAGTCCATGACTGCATGTAGACATCATCGGCATCATCCATTCCATAGCTGACAGTTCCATCACCAATTCCCTTCTCTCCTCTTTCAAGCTCTTCTAGTAATCTAAAGCTCCTAGGAACTGAATTCAACACAAATCATTATGAATAGTTAAAGAAACACATGACAATTTATATAAGAAATAACTATTCAATTAGAACATTATGATGTATCATCAACAATACAATATATATTATGTATACACACATAACAACTTGTATATGCTCCAGTTTCTTGATCACTTAATTAGAATCCATTCTGTAAAAGAAAAGAAAAAAATCTGTTGTAGTATAATAATCATGTCTTGTTTATGATGATTAATGAATGAGCAAACATTCCTCTACCTAAACTTCTATTGAATTTTGGAACTATTGTTTTTTGAGCTTTTGCCTAATTGCAGAAAATAACACAATAACAGTACCCCTGTGCCATAAGAATGGGTAAGAGCCTGTATATGTTTGAGCATTTACCCAATTACCTTCTTCACAATCAGTACAAAATTGCTCATTCGTGGAAACTATAGTGTTTTTAGCATCTTCCCCTACAACAATGGTTATTTTGCAGCAAAAACACAAATACGTTCGTTGAAATTTCAATCACTGGTTTCATTAAGAGAACTCCAAACCGGAAGATGGAGAATTAGTCTAGCAACTACGTTTATACACTAGAACAAGCATATAGATAATTATAAGATATATAGCTTGAATCCACCGATTAATCGCAAAAATTATATGAATCTGCACATAAATACTTAAGTGATAACCCTGTCATTCACTAATTCAATAAATCCGAACAAATTTAAGAACCTAAAATCTTCAAAACCAAGGAATTAAACAACTTTAAAGTAAATACCTACGCGTGAGATCAAGTAAACAACAAATTACGAATTTGCAGAATCATAGCGTAAGATTACAAGACATTAGAAACATACCGATGACCGTTGATACCTCCGACGCCATCTCTTGCTGCATTCTATGGCACGCTCCTAGGGTTTCTGTCTCCGAGCTTATTAACACAGCAAGTCTATCAAGGACTGGTCATAGAAACTCTCTGACAAATGTCTTTGCAACGGTTTTCATTTGTCCATTGAGAAACTTTGTGGTTTCTTAGCGACCAAGTGTACAAGTTTTTTATGCATACTTTGATGCGACCATGGTCTGGAAGAAGTAGGAAATGGATTGGTAATAGGCATTCTTAAGTTGTAGTCCCTAAGGTATTTAAGGTTAACAAATATGGTCCTTGAAGTTTGTAGGTGAAATTGTAAAAGACATTGAATAGGTGTGGACTTGTTAAGAAAATGTGGCGACAAAACTGCAAAAATGGTCCCTGTGGTATGTATTTTTTTAGGGTTTTAGTCCAAACCTCGACTTTTTTGGCTTTGTGGTCCTTTTGACCATGTTTGTACGTCGATTTGGTCCCTCGTAAAATTGAAATGACTATAATGCCCTTCTTCTGATATATTTTTTTGTGTTTTTTTCTATTTTATTTAAATAAAAAAGAAAGTAAATAATCATTTGGGCCCACATCTCTCTCTCTCTCTCTCTCTCTCTCTCTCTCTCTCTCTCTCTCTCTCTCTGTGTGTGTGTGTGTGTGTGTGTGTGTGTGCGCAAACTCACTTGCGATGCAACCCTTGTTCACAATCGAACTCAAAATCGAGTACAAAATTCAGATACAAAAATCAAACACAAACCCTAAACCAAAATAAGAAGAAGACGGAATCAAACCTCAACTGAATCGAACTCAAAATCGAAGATGATACCAAAATAATTACCCCAAACCAAAAATTTGATTAAACCTAATGATAGAATCCCAGGAAAAAAATTGTTGGAGATGGCGATTTCTGTGCATATGGGCTAACTAGATTAACATAGAAGATGAAGGTCTCGCACACAGAGAATCCAAAATGATATCGATTACTTCATTATATATCTCCCTGTGTTTGTGTGTTTTGATTTTTAGTGTGTATGTGTGTGTTTTGTTCCAGGGGAAAGAGAGGGAGAGTGAAGGGCGTGGCTACTGGTGGTGGGTTCTTTCTATAATGGTGGTTGGTCTCCATCTTCTCCATTGAATCTGAAATTGATGGGTATGTGTGTGTGTTTATCCATGTAAATAGGCGGTAGAATCCTTCAACCCACAGTAACAAACCAAATTTACACCAGATTCAACCCAAACTTGAACACCTGAATGGGACAACAAATTCGCAGAAGATGATGAGTAAGGATATTCGCTCAGTTTCAATTTGCAAGATACACACGATTCACAGATCCTAAAATCGCAAACAAAACCAAATCCCAAATGAAATTGGGAGTCGCGAGTGTAGGATGAGCATAGTGTCTATGTTGAGGGTTTTTTGAGGCGGAAAGATCTCCGGCGAAGGTTATCAATGTAGAGATCGGTGGTCTCTTCCAAGTGAGAGAGAAAGATGTTTAAGTGTGTGTTCTTTTAGTTTCTAGAGAGAGAGGGAGAGAGAGAGGCCCATATCTTTATTTAATATATAAAAATACTTATACAAAAAAAGAAAATGGAAAATAAATCTAACAAGGGCAATTTAGTCATTTCAATTTTACGAGGGACCAAATCTGCGTACAAACATGGCCAAAAGGACCACGAATCCAAAAAAGTCGGGGTTTAGACTAAAACCCCAAAAAAATACATACCACAGAGACCATTTTTGCAATTTTGTCAAATGTGGCAAATATGCAAATATAGCCCTTACCTTTTGCTTTAAGTGACTTGATTTTGATGCTTAAATATCTACATTAGATGCCTAAAAACTTTTCATCAAATAAAAGTTAAGAAAATTTATAGACTCACAATACATGTCATAAATATCTTAAATGAAAGGTATTAACTAGATCGAAAAATTGCAAATGAAACTTTTCATAAAAGTAATTCTTGTGCTTTTATATATATATATATATATATATATATATATATATATATATATATATATATATATATATATATATATATATATATATATACCTTAATAAGCATTTAGCATGTTTTGCTGAATTTTAAGAGGTGTCATCCTTAAAACATCATATACAACTAATTTATGCATTGCATATTAATCCGGTCAACATGTATTTTAAACCTTAAATATTGATGGCGTTTGACCTGGTCCTCTTACAAATTACATATTTTGACCTGGTCCTGTTCCTTATCCTACCCAACAACTTCAACAAAAAGGCAACTTCTCATTCCGATTTTTCAGAAAATACCTCTTCTTCGGGAATACACTATACATTTAAAATTCCAGGTTTATACATACCGTGAAAGGGAAGAGGTAATGAAATCATTGATCTATAGTAGTGATTAAGCCATCGATATTTTGACTTAATATTAATCCATGCTCTTGAGCAAGATTTGTATAATAGCATTATATATCCATATAATAATAATGCACATCTTGGTTTTCTTGTTCCATTGTTGGGTAGTTTTGTTCTCCAAAACCGTCACACACACACACATCTGACAATTGTTATTTCTTTTTCTCTATTTATGAAGTTAGTATTCATTTATGTACTATCAAAGTCTATCATTATTAACATGTGTTTGTTAATGTGGTCCAAATAGGAACATATTGGATATTATGTTGCTGGAAAGAAAATCAAGAGAAAAGAAAGACTTGATTATAAACTTGATCTGTTTGACAGTTGGTGGGTTGGGGTTTTTTTTTTATAAAGTTGCATACTTGGACATCATAAATGATTTAGTTTTTAAAAGATTTAAAAATACTATCAAATTTGCTATTTTTTAAACATTTCAGGTTCAGGATCACTAAAGAAGAAAGTTAGCTTATTCACAAACTATTGAAATGACATACCCCTCATGTAGACTTTGATCCACATGTTTTTTGTGACTGTTTTTGTAAAGTCATATCAAAATGTGATTTAACAATATGTTTAAGTGAATCCACACAATTCATGTCCTTTTTTTGCAGTCTTATGTAGATTGGTTTACATGGATGGTGCTAAATATCCACTCTCAAATACCCTAGATACAGGGAAGAGCTAGAACAGTTGGTGTCATCCTCTAAAGGTAAAGTCTATTTTGATTGCACTGCCATAAGTAATATTCTGCAAGACTTGAAATTACAATGACCAATTTGTTTCATCCTTTATATATTTTGTTTCATATGTATGATCTTTATGCATTGTAAAATAAATTCATGTAGGCTTAAGTGCTTAAAGCAAAGCATGAGTGTAAGAATAGTCGAATGGCAGTGTTGAAGTTTGGATTAACATCAGGGTGTTAAATGGGTTACCATTAAAAAGGAGAAAAAAATGTAAGCCACCACTATGTAATTCCTTTCATAATAATATTAATCTGTTGTTTTGAAACAACATTTAACATGCTTTTGTGATTATTTATAGTTCATGTTCCTAATCTCAAAGTTGAATATATTGAAAATCCCCCAAGTCCAAAACTGATGAGTAATATGTTTTGTCTGTTATGTGAAACTTTAGTACGATATTGTAGAAGTTTGACAAAATGATAATATAGTAAATCTCCTTTTGATTTTTTTGTTTTGTAAAAAAACCAATTGAAATGATTATTTGCACCCGTCGCTTGCGAGTTAAATGTTTAAAATGATAATATAGTAAATCTGCTTCTGAATCCTTGTAATGCAAAGGACAATTGTATTTTTTAGTTAAATGTTTAAAATATGTCTAATAATAGACATTCAATTTAATTTAAAATTAATGTAATTTATAATTAAGTAATGATGATTTTTTAAGCAAGACGATAAGTTGGTTTCTCCTTAAACTAATTAAAATTGTATTATTTATTTTTTGTTAAATAAACTAATTGTAATTTTGAAAATGAATCATGTAGACAAAGAATATAGTTACTAACCAGACCAACCTACAATTATTTAATTTTAATCGAATTCTTTTGATTTACCAAATTGACTATATTAAAAGATAATCGATCAAAATTTTAAATAGATATCCATGCAATGCTGTTTGGATAACATTAACAAATTGGATTTGATCGATTGACAAGTATACGAAGTCAAAAGGATTATTTGCATTCGTCGCTTGGTGCGGGTAAACGGCTAGTATATATATATATATATATATATATATATATATATATATATATATATATATTAAAGTTTTTAAATGAGAAAAGTATTATGGTGTGATTGTATGTGTATGTATCTTATCGAAATAATTTTAGGCCTAACAGTATCATACTTCTACATAGTGCATCATTTATGACAATAAAATACAAGAATCGGCCCAGTCCAACCATATCATCTAGAATTAGATAGGATAAACTTGATGGAGAACAACAAATGGATAATGATGTTAGACAACTTGTCCTCAAAATGTCAATGGGTCACATCTTAAGGATGTCCTAATAAACATGTTTCCCACTATATATAAAACCTATAAAAGATTATAGAATGGGTATATATATATATATATATATATATATATATATATATATATATATATATATATATATATATATATATATATATATATATATGGTGAGTTAAATAAAGAACCATTATTAACAAGAAACCAATCGTGATCGTCGAAATTTAAAGCGATCAACGGCTAAGGAAATGGATGTACACTTGTACATTGGATGCACATACACCGGATTATACCATAAAACTCACATCTTTACCAAAAAAACTCACCTCTTTTTGTCGTTTAAAATTTTTTTAAGCCACGTTTTTTATCGGAAAAAAACCGAATATACCGTTGTTCACGAATTTTTCGTCCTCTTTTGTGCAGACAGTGTTATTCTGTGAGAATGACTAAGAGAATTTGTTGTTTGAATATAAATACGTTCAACGTCACATAACTATTATCATTATCACTAATTAAATTGCCTATAAGGGTATTATGGACTTTTTTATGATTCACATTTTATCAGAATGTGTTCTTGATAATCATATTCTGTAAGAATGAGAATGAGTGAAAAACGATGCATAAGAACAAAAATGAATAAGAATTAGTGACGATGCATGATAATGACGATATTGATGTGAGGTTGAACGTATTCATATTACCAAACAACTTATTCTCTTAGTCATTCTCATAAAATATATAGCATTCTCCACACAC